GCATGCTACGCAGGCTTTGTCCAGATTACTTTGCTGTCAGCTTCCGTTGCTGGGACGTGCAAGAGCTTTCATGCTACTTTGTCCAGGCTACTTTGCTGTCAGCTTCCGTTGCTGAGACGTGCTGGAGTCCACTGAGAAGTTTGACGCCAACAGAGAGCGTCAGTCACAGCTTTATGCTTTTGAGATGCTTCTTCGGATGCCTATGACAAGAAAGGAGCCAACCTAACTTTGAGAGGGCACGGCTGCAGGTCACATTGACTTCTGAAGCTGCATCTTTGTCATCGTTGGCACTATCGACTGAGATCTAATTCATGCGTAGCAGCTGTACAGCAGCTACCCTCACCCAGACCGCATCTCAGCGCCGTGCGGCCGTAATTGGAGCAACTGTGATCACACCGGGAGAGTCCACCTCTGCCCAACATGTCCCGCATCCCCAGAGATTTCCAGAGTTCCAGCAAAGCTGTGCAAGACCAATGTCCGAGGGTTGAACATCACAGACAACGTTCACAATATCACCATCCACCTGTGAACTGTGCTCGACGCGTCTGCCCTATCGCTTTACAAAACCTCGCTCAGGATCAAACAGATTGCAATGTGCCCGTGAACCAATGCCCCTGCCATTTCTTCGATGTTGCAGGCTGGGATTTCGTAAGCCTTCAGCTCAGCCGATTGTCCTCGTACTCCACCTCTACACGGTCACCCGGTTGGGAGATGGTCCTAATGGATGTAATTTCTGTGAATGTTCTGCAGAAGCTGAAAAAAGCTGGGTAGCTGGCAGAGCCGAGGTCGCCGCGTCAGGGCCGTCAGGATTCGGGGTCTTCTGGGAAAGAAAATGGCTTTCCGGATCGAAGCCTGCTGGCCTTGGATAAAGTTTCATTCGAAGCTGGTGGGAGAATCTCATCGCCAGCCCGGCAGCTGCGTGAAGTCAACGGACGGCCACTTTGCAATGACCACCGCCTGCAACGCAACAGGGCAGCATCCCCCCTGGTCCTCACAGAGCCCGTTCTTTCGAGCCTGTGATGTTCCCCGATGGACGAGGAAGATGGCAGGCTCCGGGGAGCCTGCATTGGAGACCACCTGCACGAAAGTCTAGGCGGTACTGAGGGATGAAAGATGCTAAAGGCCTCGGCCCCCAAGAGCTCCCAGTTCTTCGCCAGGCGCAGGGAGGCCTCCTCAAGACCTCAAACTCCATAAAACAACCAGTTTAACATGGATAGCTTTAACCCAAAACTCCGCACCTCGTTGCCGAGCCTCGCTCAGCATGCCCGCTATCTCCGCCTGTCAAAGGATGGGTCAAAGCCCCCCAGGCCAGGGCAAAGGTCAGGGCTTGTAAAATGCCTGCAGCTCTAACGGCACAGACAGCTTCAGGGAATCCCCCATCTGCCAGGTCACCTTAGCTGGCAAGTTCGCAGTTCGCAGGCCTTGGCCCACCTCAGGATTTGGGCTGCTGGCCATGCGATTCAGAGTCACCCGGCGACCACCAACCTGGACCTCTCCCTGGGCAGATCGAATCGCCGTTTGCAGCTACGCTGGCTACGTCTGCGCACCGCGCAAAGTCCTTGGCCTCGCCGCAACCGCACTCAAAGATGACTTGGCGCTGCAAGTCCACAGCTCCAACCAGCCACTGACAGCCACAGAAGTGAGCTTCTTCAACATACCGTGTGAACAGTGAACTGCAGAGCAGCTGCTAGAGAACAGCGTCTCCCAAGTTAAGATTGAAGGGCTGGTCACACCTGCGGAAAAGTGAGCGCCTCCAGGAGAGCACGGAGCTCGGAGGGTTCTTCGGTGCCACCGGCCTGCAGAGCTCTTCCGAAAAGCAATCTACGCAGTCTTGCACAGGCTTCTGGCATCTGGCGCCTGGAGCTTGCATGGGACGAGGGTGTCTTGAGCACCCATGGCCTCCGGGTGCAAAGCGTTTTCCTTGAAATCCGTTGACGGCGGCGGAGGGGGGCGCCTGCAGCTGGATGCGAAGCTGCTGGGCTTGAAGGCGAACTTCCTGTACCTCAAAAAAAATTACAGCTGCAAAAAGAATACGGCCAGCTGCTCTTGTAAGAGAGGGAAAGAACGGCTCAGGACTCAGGGCTGGCCTTGGCCTGCAGCTGCCTCGCCTGAGAAAAGCTCAAGTTGAAGAGTTGGAAGTTGAGCATAAAGCATAAGTGAGTTGGCAAAGCATTTTGTGAGTTTGTGCCTCAAGCTGCTTGGACTTGAGCTGTGCCTCCATGTCGAGCTGAATACCTCCGCTGTCTCCACTCATCGTGCTTTGCGTTCATTGCCATCCTGAACCCTGCCTGTGGCTGCCATTGGCCGCTGCAGCAGGCTCAGCTTTCAACAGCCTTCACTTTGAAAACTCACATCTAACCAGCAAGCCTCTCTGAGCCTTGCCTCGCGGGGCTGAGCAAGACCGTGCGTTCTAATGAGTTACCTAAAAATGCAGCTTGCCATGCTTGGATGCTCACATGTGTTTCACATGTGTTGAAAAACGCTCGTCTAAAGCCTGCACAAGATGCTGCCAATGTTGCCACTTTTGCGTGATTTGGAGTTGCACTCTAGCACTGTTGGCAGCCTGGTTTTTGAGCCATATGCACAGGCAACGAGCGCAACGCGTCTTTCCTTTGCTTCACAGGGCTTAGCCAGACAAATAATGAAAGTGCCGACTTGCCGGAATGCGCTCTTGCCGAATTCATTTTGCAAACGGTTCAGGCACTCGGGTAGCTGCCACCGCTGTTCAGGTTCAGCTCTCTTCGGTCTTCGCCTCTGTCTTGGCCTTCTTCTGCACCCCGCCATAGAACTTGCTCTTCTCCTCGCTGGTCTGGAAGCGGCCATGGCCGAACTTGGAGGAGGTATCAATGAACTTCAGCGTCACCTTTTCCAGCGCCTTTCGGGTGACCTGCGGCAGCAGGGACTTGCGCAGTGTGACCAGGCGCTTGCGCGGGCCCATGACCGTGCCCTTGAGCATGATCCAATCCTCCCGCACCTCACCATAGTGGGAGAAGCCGCCCATTGGAGTAATGGGTTTCTCCGTAAGATCATTCTCCGTGCTTGCGTTGTTGGCATCGTCCTTGAGGGCTTTTCCCACTCGGTAGATCTTCTTGTTGATTTCAGTCCGGTGGTGATACCCGCGCTGGCCTGAGCGGGGTACCTGGAAGGCAACACGGGCGGGGTGCCACGAGCCGATGCATGCTACCTTCCGCAATCCACGGTGCGTCTTTCGAGTGAGGCGTGTGACACCCCAGCGTGTCACCACGCCGTTGAAGCCTTTGCCTTTCGTAGCGCCGATCACGTCGACCATCTCATCCTGGCTGAAGACATCGGCCACCTTTACCTCCTTCTCAAAGAGTCCCATGACAAAGTCCACCTTGGCCTCTGTGGTGCCGCCGTTCACCTGGATCTCCTTGATGTGCGCCTTCTTTTGGCCGATTCGGACCTTGCCCACCTGCGTATGGCAGATGGCCCGGATCACCTGGCAGTACTTTTTGGCCCGCTCAACCTCGGCAGCCATGGGGGTGCCATCCTTGCCTGCCTCTTCCCAGCGTTTCTGGTACTTGGTGAAAGCCTTCTGCTTGGAAGTGTGCCAGGTCTTGTAAAAACGACGCTTGCACTCCTCGGAGAGGTGCCCTGCCCAAACAGAGGTGAGAGCACGCAGGCCGCGAGGTGTCTCCACATAGCCGACAAAGCCTACCACAATCATTGGAGGGCTCTCCACAATGCTCACAGGCTCCACAATCTCCTTCTTGTGCAGCTTGGATCCAGGCCGGTCAACTTCCCGGACGATATGTGTCATGCCTGCCTTGTAGCTCATGAAGGCTGTGAGGTGCGGGTCCTTGGACTGGTCGTCCTTTGGGAAGCTCTTGATCTTGCCATGGTGGTGCCTGTAAAGCACTGTACAGCTGTTTAACCAAATTTTATTTTCAGATCAGCAACCTAGAAATTTGAATGCCTAAAGACAACTTGTTTCCACAGATTTCCTCGTTCGCTTTCGGGGCAGAAAGCCCAGGGAGCCATGACGTGGCCGCTCAAACTTGCGGTGCGACATACCTTACAGTCAGAGCTCAAAGAAAGACTGCTTGTCCCCAAAAGCCGAAAAAGTGCTCCCGGCCCAGGCCTGCTGCTTCAACCGTTGCCAGTCTGCGGCCCTTGATAGCTCACGGCTGAAGGTGAAGGTCAGAGCTGGTAAGCATTCCAAAGAAACCACTTTCCCCTAAAAAACAGCAGCTTGCGCGGAAAAGCCTTTTGAAAGGAAGAAGACGCGCAACTTTTTTTTGGTCCGCAAGTCGCTAACGCATCCTGGTCCACTCAGAGGCCATGGCCAGGAGCGCACCGCGCGGAGGCCAAGGCACACCAAGGCACATCACCAGTTACATCAAGCTCTCTGCACATGCAGAAGCCGCAGAAGCCGCTTGCCTTGAAGGAGCAGGCGTGGACTTAGCTTCACAGCACAACTCCAGTCCTCTTCTTGAATTCTGTGCTTGCCACAAGTGAAAACCATTAGAGCTGTGTCGTAGGCGCTTGCAGCTGCCTCTGGGGAAGGCACGGTATGCGTGCTGTGCAAAATGGCACCAGAATCAGCACAGACGGTGTGACACACAGCATGCTTCGGAGGTCTCAAGACGATGACGTCCTCTCAGGGGAAGCCAAGTCTTCACCCGCTTTGTCTGGAACTATGCTGAGTCTGCTGAGTCTGAGCAAAACTCACTCAGCAACGGAGCAGACTTGAAGCTGCAGAAAGGATTGAATCAAACATACCTCTCTGCAAATGCAAACTCTCTTTCTTCAAATTCTCCTGCTTTCAACAGCCACGAGCTTTTGTCTCCTGTGCAATTCACGGAAAGTCCAGACTTCTTCCTCAACTATCCCCACTTCTTGGGCATACGCCAACGGAACTCTGCCAAATCTGCTGCTCCAGTGGTGCTGAGGGCAGTGTCATTGATCAGCTCAGCTCGGCAAAAGTCATGAGGGTTTATCACCAGATCCCTGAAGATCATCCTGAGCCAACTTCAGCTCAGTCTGTGCTGAATCTATGCCGGCGCTGATGCCGGCGCCGATGTAAAAGCCTCCCCATCCGCATTCGTCTAGCTTCAACGGCTTCCGCAAGGACACGGATTGAAGAGCACGCACTCAGCAACTTCAATCCTTCAATCTGAACGAATACACCATCGTCTCACGCTGAGCATAAAGGCCTCTTTCCAGCAATAGCCCCAAGAGCAGAGGTGGAAACCGCAGCATGAACTTACCTGCAGGCCAGTGAGGCCAGTGACCTGGTCTGGGCTCAGGAAGGAATGCGAGCTCCTGAAAAAACTCCTCTGCAAGGTTCCAGGCAAAGATGCCCTTGAAAGCCTTTACGCTGTTTGAATCCTTCCAAGCTTGGAGTTCCTCATTTTTATGCCACGGCTTTGCACTCTGACTCCGAAGCGTGCCAACGTGACAACAGGAGGTAACCAGTAACCAGGCCAAAATCATCCAAAGAGTTGCTGTTCAGCTGTTCATCAGTTCAGCTCGCCTGGCTGACCTGAACAGGAGATTCCTTCGAAGGTTTTTGCACTTCTTTGCACTTCGTTACAATTTTCCAGACTTTTATTGCTGTCGAGGGCGAGGAAGTGCTGAGGTGAAGGGGGAGATGCAGGGAATGCAGGGAGAGAAGCTGCGAAAGCTGCGAGGTGCACTGGCACCTTGACTCGCTCTCGCTAAGCGCCTGCGGAGCTGGGCGTGGGGCCGAGCGGGCCGAGCACGGAGCTGGGAACCGGGCTGAGCACTGAGCTGCGCACGTTCGAAAGCTGGCTCTACGCCTCGACCAGCGCAGCAGACACATGCCGCAGGTGCAAAGAAAGGCCCTGTGCCAACTGCCTCCGTTTCACTGAGACTTTACAAGTGGCTCACGAAGAGACAAACGCAAGATGCATGTGAACGTGGTGAACGTGAATCAGGAGGCACCAGCTTGATGTTACCTTTTCTCAGCAACAAGCGGTGCATCAGAGCATCGCGCGCAGCACGACGGCCCAAAGCCAGCCTTTGCCGGGCCCCATGTGCCATGAGGGCCCCGCCACTCAGAAAGGTGCAGCAGGGCCTGCATGGCAGAGCTACTGCTTACAAACGACAGCCCAGACAGCCCGGAGTCAATGTCCAAAGGACCCACATGCGGCTTGCAGCGGCTCAGCCATTTGCGGCCGCAGGGTGGTAGTTGCACAAGTGCAGAGAAAAGTCACAGCAGAAAAATGTGCTTCTTAGCATCCACAGCGTGTGCCTTTCAAACCAAAATAGAAGAGGTGCAAGATACTGGCAATGCGCTATCCGCAAAACAGCTTTGCATAAATCAGGCTGCGAGGCCTGCGCGAACCCCATGCCGATACAACTTTGCAGGAACAGGGCTCATCGGGAGAGAAACTGACACAACCCATCAAGCATGCACAGAAGGGTCCTCCCTGAGCACTAGGCATTTGGGAGGCTGTGAAGAACATTCTGGCCGGGTGCAAGGAAGGATCCATCCAAGCGCATTAACAGGCACAGATGCAGCGCATATGCGGCAAACGTTAGGAAGAAATGCAGGCTTCATCCGGGGTTGCTTCAGCTGTGTCAGCTGCATGGCGGAAACTGGGAACCGAGACAGTAAGTCAGGCAAGCGGAAAATGTCAAGCTCAGAAGCTCCAGCTGCCTGCGGCTCCTGCGGCTCCTGCCTTGGCTTCCATCAGCACCAAAAGAACTGGAAATGGAAGACATGGCCATGGCTAAATGGCGTAAAAGGCCTCAGCACTCGCACTCTTACTCTGGCCTCAGCTAAATGAACTCACCATGAAGGCAGCTGCTTAAAGCTTAGCGCTGCTCAGCTACGGCAGCTGACAAGCAGAATGCCTCTATTTCAGACACCACTGGCAACATGTGGCAACCCTGCATGCCTCAACTTGCACACTGCCTCCCTGCGTGGCTTTTTGCACGGCACTGGCTAAGCAGCCCTGGCTGCTTCCCAAATATTGCGGAAAAACTTGCCAGCAGCCCTGCAAGTTGCCGTGTCTTACAAAGCCCAAATCTGCAGCTGCTGCAGCTCGCAAGCTTTCTGAGTACAACGCCCATTAAGTCATTCAGGCTTTGGCTCGGACCATGATATCACGGCAGGGCTATCGCCTCGTTCCAAGTTGCAGAGGTCTTTTCCTTCAGTTGTCGAGGGTTGTTGAGGAAAAGGCCACGTTGAGACTTAGGTTCTTCAGGCTCTTCAGCTCCGGCTCAAGGCTGAAGGGTTTTCTCGGAGATCGCGGAGCCCGCAGAGCCTTCGGGTCGGGCTGTGACGGCCGTGACTTCGGCTGCTGATAGGACTACGAGATGTGCTTGGCCAGCATACGTCACAAAGAGGTTAAACGGCGCCTTTCATTTGTTGTTTAAATGCTTTGCTTTTTGTTCACCTTGCACTTAAAGCATTCCGTGTTTTTTCAAAGCACATTTCCTTGCTGGCAGTGCTGTCAGGACGTTCCCAGCACTTGCACAGCCCACTGCCCCCTTATGCAGCCAGACAGGGTAGTGAGAGCTCGAGATGTATGGGTTGGTCAAAAAACCACAACTTCAAACCTGCTTCTTGCCAAAAACCATGCCCTGGTGGCGGGTTGCAGAAGGCACAAGCACAGAGTTGCAGGCTGCTTCAGGCGCCACAAAGCCCATTCAGACGTGATAGCGTGGTCCCCAACCGAAGAGAACTCAGGCTAGGTCAGCACCTCTGCGCATCAATCGGGCCGCGAGGCTCCGCAGAGGAAATTTTCTAGAAGCACTCTACTGCAGCTTTGCAGCAGCCTAAAGTCTTCCAGAGTTGTTGCACCTGCTGCCAGACCATACAGCGGGCTAGGAGGAGAGTCCTGTTCAGCCAGGAGGTCACGACTTTGCGCAGGAGCGCTAGCCAATGATGCATCGGCAGCGAAAGTCACTGCTGCAAACGGCTCCGATTGCTGTGCCCATGCTACCTTTCCACACTATGCATCTCGCACTTGTCCTTCAATGTCTATGCCATGCCGCAGCTATGTCCCACAGACGGTTTGATGTGCCATATACAAAATGTCGAGAGATGGAGATGGCCAATGTGGGCAAAGCTGGGAGCTGACAAATCGAACACAGCGAGCACATCTCAACAATGAGCAAGTCTCCTCAATCACTCTATCAATAGAATCCTTGACAGAATCAAGATTGTCTGGTCCTAGGTATCACTGTGAGTGCGTCATACATGGACGCGAGGAGGCGCCTGGAGAACACGGTTCGCAACACATGCGTAGCGGCAGCGCCCTTTGAATACTAGTGTAGCTACAGCGTGGCACTCACCATCCAATTTTCCAGATCTGGCACTCCCCTCGAACTTGCACTGATTCTGCAAGGCGAGAAGCCAGACCCTACAATTTCAAACGGATTGGAACGACTTTTTTGCGGGAGCGAAGGATGCGTGGGCATCTTGATGCCTGCCGCACTTCTTCCCTACACCCACGGGCTATGGCAAATCTGACTGGAAGGGTAACAGTTGGCTGGGTTGGGGTTGGAGCTAAGAACTTAGAGGGTTCAGGGAAATTCTCATCACACAGCAGAGATTTGGTTTTCGCATGCTTCGCATGCGCTGCCTTCGCTTCACGGCCTTTCCTTGGATGCCTTCTGGGCTCTACCGCTCAGTTTACACATGCTCTGCCAAGCACACACACACAGAGGTTCTGGTGTGCCCGAGCCCGAGTGCGAGCCCGAGTGGCCCGAGTGGCCCGAGTGGGTCACTTGCCAGATTTGCCGTTAAGTCCGCGAGGTCCGTGAGATTCTCAGACTTCTGTCATCAGCTCCAAGTCTGGCTTGTAAGAACTTTTGCTTCAGGGACACGCTTCAACATGGATCAATGGCAAGGAGGTCTAGGATTGAAAGCAGGCCGGCGTGAGCATGTGCTGTCCAACCATGATTGAATGCGCCTCTTACATGCATGGAACCAAGCCTGGTAAGGTCATAAATGAGGCTGAAACACATTTATCTCTTTGCCCTGTGAGAGAAAGTGTGGAGCTGACCCGTCCAAAGCCGTTTGCACAGGAACATAGG